CTGTTCCCAAAAGGGATGCGAGTTGCAAGGTGTTCCGGTAAACTTCAGTAGTTCTAGTCGCGGAAATCGTATGCTGTGATTAGAGGTCGGTGTAGGTGTCGCGGTAACGGCTAGGTTTGGCGGTGGATGTTCTGCCCATGGCCGCAACTGTAGAATCCGGCAATTAAGTTTAGACAACTAGATGGCAGCCTTGTCTGTGTACTCGGAAGCCCGAAGGAATTTTCGCCCAGTATCAGGGCCTGATAACTGCGGTTCTATCTCTCTATCAATAGATTTATGTTCGCCCGTGAAGCCTCCCAATCATCCTGCGAGCACCTGAAGATTGTGCAAGCTTGCTGCGTCCTTTGAAATAGCTGCTTCGATTTCAGTTACGAGCTTCGTCCAAAGCGTACAATGAGCTTTCCACTTGCCTTTAAGCAAGTTCATAATGATGGTAGGTTGAGTTGTAGCAGCCTGGGTGACTAGCCGGTAGATATCATAACAATACGCTTGTCTGTCCTCGGTCGCTGTGGATGCAGTCGTTGGATGTTTCCCGGTGGGTTTCCGGTACCACTTTTGTAGAGACAAATGTCTTCTGTAGAGGAATGAAATGCTTTATTACCAACCTATTTTTGACCTGCTGGTAAACCAGGCTGATGATGATGCTGATGACCTCAGATGAATGGCGCTCACCCACAGAGGGGGATGGGCCAAGAACCGGGCGGCAGGATACCTAAATGAGACTAAAATGAAATAAAGCCAATCTGAAAAGTTAGTTTAAAGATAATACTGCCAAATAACAAAAATGTTTGCTGAACAAGCGGTGAAACCATCTCTTGTTATTGACAGACATCGTTACAAATTATAAACTACAGATCTGAAAAGGTTAGGGTTCACTAGCACGGGAATCTGTTTGTTGCATTCATGTATTCAAACACAGAGGAGCATATATGCCTGTGGTAGTAACCAAATGAAGTGCCGCCAAGTGATGAAAGTAGATTTACTTGTATTCCTAGCTTTTGTATTGAGGCTACTAAAGATCTTTATCTCTGATAAGAGTAACGACGACAAAATAAAGAAAGATATTCAATTGTTTCAATTTCCTTGAAAAAAATGTAAAGCGGTGACGCTTTGTGTCGAGCTTTGTTGAGGTAATAATTTAGTCGTGGAACTGTACAGCGCAATCTGGTGTAAGTGACCTCTAACTGGCAAGATACACACTACTGTTTATTCCAGCAATACCTTAAATGCTCGAAATCTTCAAATTTATCCAAATTACATATTCTCCATTGCATACAAGCATTTCCGAACTTTAGCGCTGTCACGTAAGCCGTATCTGGCAAAACTGGGATGGTGGACCCTCTCAGGGATACGGCTGCTAAGGAGTCCGCCATCTCATTCACTTATAATCCGCGGTAGCCTGGTACCCCTAGCAAATGCAGTCTTTTTTACGTTTTTTCGTACTAAATGCCGAAACGCATTCATCAGCTCTGCATTTGCTGCCGAAGAAAGTGCATTACATACTGATAACGAATTTGTAATAATAACTGCTGATGATTCGTTTGAGGGCAATTTGCGTAGGTCAAGAACAATAGCCAATACTCTGCAATGAATGCAGGGGTATAATCTGGTAGTCGAATCGAAAAGGACCAGTCAAAAGAAGGAGAGAAGATGCCAATCCCAGCCTTTTTTTTTGACACAGATGCATCAATCTCAATGATATTGCTTATCTCTGGGTGAGCTAGATAATCTGCTAACTGGTCATTCAGGTTCTATGGTCCAATTGTTTCGCGTTATGAGGAAATATAGCGTTAAATTGTATGCTAAGCATTGAATTTAGGTTGTGTCGAGGCAAAGAAAACAGAACCGCGTCTCGTGCAATTGAGTCGCGCGTAAATGCCGCAATTTCCTCTCCGTCGAAAGTTGCAACAATGACAGACTGGTTACATAAACATGTAATTCACAAGGTATTCTTTCTGCCGGGATTGGAATTGCTCAAGGACTCCATTCAATTTGCTTGAAAAGGCACTGCACAAGTAGTACGTGATTAAAAAAAACGCAGGTCTGTGCGGAACCTGTAGCACTGTCGCAGCGAAAGCTCGAAGAGCGGCCTTTCAGAGCCTTTTCTCAACACTCTACGAGTAAGTGCTACAAGGACAATTGCTGGGTGCCCACTATGTCCTAAATAATCATGATTGATGTGTAGTAAGCTGACATTCACTGTACTATCCTTCACCATTCTTCCGAAAAGCGTAGTATATGCTTCACTCTTGTTTCGAAAATTCTGCAATATTTTTATGCAGTGGCTGACGACGATGAAGAACTATGGCTGAAGTTAATAGGTGAACAAGAACAAGTTTTTTAATGGGTTGGATTTTGGATGGCACACTTTTTACGCCGTTAGCATTGTGTGTCGCCTGGATCTTCCTTTAATATTCTAAAACGCTTTATTTTTTATATTAGCGAGACTCCATTCAAGACATCGAGTCTTCAAAAGGCAAGTTTTCAAACAAGTCCCAAACTCCAGCTGAGTCAGTGGTAGAGTACTGAACTTGTACGCCGTGGACCTGGGTTCAAATCCTATTGTGTCCTTGGTGTTTCTTATACACCGGGGTTTTCTCCTAATTCTTGTGAAATTTTTTACGGACATTGGCGGTGGTGGCGGAGAAGTAGGGCGCCCCACGTGACTTGTTCTCTGATCTCATAACAGCTTTCGGTGTAGAGTATAGTATTTACCGGTGCAGTCAGCAGAGCATAGCGACGTCGAAAAGTGTCTTGCTGTCTGGACTAGAGCAGATAGATAGATGATAGATAGATAGATAGATAGATAGATAGATAGATAGATAGATAGATAGATAGATAGATAGATAATCAAAACAGCCCAATGCCCGAATTTGGTGCTAAGATTCATTCCGTCCGCTCGCTGTGAAGTGCATGCTCATTACGAGTCATGGAAAAAGCGAAAGCCTTTTGAAATTTTGACTTTATGCTAACTAAAAGAGGCAATGCTTTTCCTGAATGTCGTTGTTGACCCTTTGCCCACCAATCTTGTGGGTAAGAAACTAAACAAGAGTGTTCTTTGTCGCATATTGTTGAATGAATATTTTGTAGTTTGAACACTTTAAGAAAACGTGTAACTCACGTTCCAACGCCATTGCTGATGCACAGCTCCCAGCTTGGGTCATGCAAGCTGGAAGACATTGTCCTAACGACAAGCGTATCTAACGCTGTACCTAATCACTAAGGGTTCAACACTTGCCTACCGACGTCATTGCCTCCTTGTTTCACTTCTTTCAGTGTTTTTATTAGCTGGTGCTATAGCACTCGAAGCAGTAGGTGACGAAGGAACATCGTTGTTTCATGCAGAAGTTCCACTGCGATTCCGACGAATCGAGGCGCAAAAGGCAAAGAACATACTTCTTGTTCACTGAACTTAATGACCACGGGCGCTACTGCAGCTACCGTAAATATTTCTTGATTATTTCCCCAAAAGCCTGCGTTGCCACCAAACTAGTGTTTCCTCTGGCAGCATGCTTCTGTCATAATGCAGTACTTCAGTAAAGCTGTTTTAGATAACGACGCCTTGCCACTACTAAAATTGCTGTAAATAAATGGTGTGAGAGGTACAAGGTGCGTCTATTAATTATTGTGCATGTGCATCGATGGTGCAGTAGCTGCAGCGCTAGTCAAATTTTGTAGCTTGCTTAGCGCTCAGTGTATCAATTCCCAGGTTATGGAAGTCAGCAAACCTTTTTTTTGTTTTTCTTTATTACCTGTTGTGTAAATTTTACCGACTTTGCTTAAGTAAAAAATAACGTCAGTGAGGTTTTCGTGAACCTCGACATAAATCAATTCGGTTTTTTTTAATTGTAGCGTTCTGGGTGGCCCTCAGGATGACGGTATTTGCTTCAGATTCATGCCTAGTCAAGACGTTCTCCTTCATCCAGGTAACCAGCCGAAGTTCCAGAGCTGGCTCGGTGTAGGTAAAACCAGCCTCACGCTGTAGCAACCTTGGTGTAAAGAGGCAGGGGCCGAAAGTGTTTTAATGATAAAAAATAAGGTGTTCATTGACGCGAGAGCGGCTAGAGAGGCGAAAGGCCGGAGAGTACGCCTTGGGTTGGAAAATGGCAAGAGGTGCAGAAAAAATTAAGGTGAGAGCATTCCGTTAGCGCTAGATACAAATTCTGGTGGTACTGGGAAAGTACTTTGTGTAGTGGGGTGTAGGTGAGGCGAGAAAGGCCGCCGTTCAGGATGATACCGTAGAACATTAGGAGTGCATCGAGCGTATACGTTAGTGCTATCCGCGTCCAATGCGATACGACAAGAAGAGGTCAGCGAAGATAAGCTGTTAAGTGTAGTCGTTGCCGCACGCAGCGGAGAACAGAAATAATTCCACCATCTGAGCTCAACGAGGCTTTGGCGAGCAAGCATTTTTTAGCGCAGCTGTTGTGGACGCGTGCCCACAAGCATACACGCGTAAATATAATTTTATAAGAGCTGATTACAAAATAAAGTCATTTATGAACGGAAGTTGATGCTTGGAAGAAGTATTGTTTTTTTACATATGGAGCTAGTTGCTCAAGCAAAGAATTCCGGTATATACCATGGAACATGAGGTAGACCACTTTGATGGCATCGCAACAAAACACTGGTTTCTCGTCTCGGTGGTTTCGGTAGATGTCTTGTGAATGAATGCATCTTGTACTTGGTAGGGAAAGCATCAAAGATGCAAAATGCAATAGTTATTTCCATTCGTTTGCTAATACATCGTTATTTCGATGCATGATTTTCCTTTTATTTGGCTGACATTTTCAGTAAAAAAAAACTGTGGTTATCGGTCCTCTTTCTTCTTGCTCCAGCAAGTCTGCCGAGGCATTCCTAGTAATGAGCAAGATGAATACAAAAGTACAATATATAAGTAGACTCACTCTACTAATTTGTTTTTCTAACACAAAAATCATTTTTCTTTTAATTACTAACCTAGTAGTTTATTACATACCACGATATTTATTCTTACGCAGTGCCTGTGTGTGCTGAAAAAGTTCCACCTCCAGCTTCCTGGGAGCTACCTTTCAAACTTGGAGGGGTATGACACTGGCCTATTATAAATAAACTGCAGTTTTATTGGAGCACAGAGAAGCTTATTTCTGCAGGAGATTTTAAGCATATACATTAACTGTGTGGTCATTTTAGATCACATGCGGCTTCTACAACAACTTTGCTTTTATTTCGTAATGGAGTCTCAAGGTGTCACCCAGAACCACTGAGCAGGGAACTTCATTTTCTAGCACTCGCTGAACAGAAAGTCTGCACCTAAAAACAAAATACATGCTTGCCATTATAGATAACATCTACGTGGTGCTAACATGCAAGGCCTGCAGGCCGAAATGTGCTGCTGAATTTTTTTATTGAGAAAAGAAGTCATATGTCACCGTAATATTGCGGTATACCTTCGTTAACGTGGCCAGGCCAAGGTAAAGCACGTCTGGTCAGCTCCCGGCTTGCCGACTACAGCACACCTAGCTACATTTACGCCAAAAGTCATCTGTACGTTGTTTTTATAATTTGAACATTTACGCCCCGCCGCGGTGCTCTAGTGGCTAAGGTACTCGGCTGCTGACCCGCACGTCGCGGGTTCAAATCCCGGCTGCGGCGGCTGCATTTCCGATGGAGGCGGAAATGTTGTAGGCCCGTGTACTCAGATTTGGGTGCACGTTAAAGAACCCCAGGTGGTCGAAATTTCCGGAGCCCTCCACTACGGCGTCTCTTATAATCATATGGTGGTTTTGGGACGTTAAACCCCACAAATCTATCAATCTTGAACATTTATACTACAACAAGCGGTGATATTAGCACATAGGCCACAAAGCAACAGCATATATGAGTTACATTACATAAAACCACTATTTTACCTAAAAAAAGTGGGAAAAATGTCCTGATGACTCATCATAGGGCTCTCAATGCTTAGAAAAAGCTATCCGACTGATTCATCAAGGAATGGTGTTGCGACACAGAGCCACGTATTATGGATAAAATAAAGTTAGTATATAACAACCCAGGTGAATTGCTCAGAGGAGCACCTCACAACTTGCACACAGAGAAGTTGTGCGCAGCCCAGTTGCAGCAGTAAAAATGATCTCTACCTGCGCATTTTTGTGTTTTTATTGTTGTGTTGAGATACTGCAAAGCTCAATTCTTCACAAAGGCAAAGTGTTCTTACGCCCCGCTGCGGTGGTCTAGTGGCTAAGGTACTCGGCTGCTGACCCGCAGTTCGTGGGTTCGAATACCGGCGGTGGCGGCTGCATTTTTGATAGAGGCGGAAATGTTGTAGGCCCGTGTACTCAGATTTGGGTGCACGTTAAGGAACTCCAGTTGGTCGAAATTTCCGGAGCCCTCCACTACGGCGTCTCTCATAATCATATGGTAGTTTTGGGACGTTAAACCCCACATATCAATCAATCAGTCAAAGCGTTCTTACAGCAAAACTTCATTTGGCTAGACCAAAACAAAACCCTTTGCCTCATCTGGACAACAAGTTCTGTAATCGCTGTGCTGTGAGTTACGTCGTTTTCTATACCGTACTCAAGCGCAAGTACCTTGGATGCCCCGTCAATCACTCTGTTCTGTGCGTCGTAATCAAACACGCGCACACGTAGATGGGTAGTCAGTGACGTCATCTTTTTTAAAGCAATACTGACGTACGTGTGAATGCCTTCCTTCTTTCGAAAAAAAATTGCGCAGCTTCGCTAAGTTACACAAGACTGAGTAACTCTAGCTCTGCTGGGAACATTTCGACTCCTACCGTACGTTAACCGTTTGTACGGAACACTTCCGCGCTCATTGAATACGTGTAGGTGCATGATGATGTTTTTTGTGTTTTTCACATATAGTGAACTTCCAAAATAACACCTATGCCATATATTTCCCAAATCTTGTTTGCGCTAAGGAAATCGAACAATTCCCCCTAAGTCTCAGATCTTCAGTTCACCACCTGAAAGAATGTTCAGGTGGTGACTGAGCACCTGTAGGTTCATGATGGCTATAATTTTGTATTTACGACACAAAACCAGCCTCGACGGAAACAGGTCTAGTTGTTGTAAAATTATAAAAACGCAATTTTCAATATATATAAACGCTTGTATCTAAAGAAATGAGCTAAAATTGCTGCTGAGCGTTTCAGATGCCGTGCAGAAACAGCCTAGTTTTTTTACTTGACACAAGAACGGCAGAAAAGATAGCGAAGTGTTGCAGCATATGCGTACTTCATAAATTTGGCTGCCACTTATCTTCAACAAAATAAAAGTTTACTGAACACCTACCTCTCATTAGCGCATGTCACTACTGAGCCTAAATTTCGTTTCACAAAACTTTGTGTTTTTCAGCATTGGCCAGATGAGTTTACGTTTGCACAGAACTTTCGCGCGCACATTGCCATTTCAACATTCTTTCTCCGCAACGTCTTCTACAAGCACAGCCTTCACGTCAGTGCTCATACATGTCTCCTGGTGCTGTCATCTACATTGGGAGAAAATATCCTCAATGCGTGCAACAAAAAACCAACTTCTAGACGTCTTGTGTTCACGTGAACTCCCGCGCGTATGCGCCAGATATACTACTTGCCTAAACTCTCCTGCACTGTAGAAAAAACTACGTTAAGAGCTGCTAAGACTGTCACAAGCGTGAGACTCCGTCCGTAAAACTGGTTTGTATTGCTGCACGTTTGCAGAGCATTCTGTGAGCCCGTTCTCTTAAGCACACCTCACATGCTCGAAAGGAATAGTCCGCAATGAAGACACAAGTCTGAAACCTGCAGAGATACTGGCTTTGTTTTCGGTGGCGGTTGTAATTTGAGTGGGCAGGTGCACCCGTATACTTGGCAAAAGAAAATCACCAACCCAGTCGGTGATAGTGACCTTTTTATGAACAGTCCGGCCTTCAAAAAATTAAGGCATGGTCAGTGATTCATACGGTAGGGCGAGTTTCCCCTAAACCCACACAGTGTTTGAAATGTCGGCGTTATGGACATTCCGTTAGAGGGTGCCGATCTCTTCTTAGATGCCGCTGGTGTGGCGAGAGCCATGACAGCAGCGACTGCAGCTTTGGCGGAGAGAGGTGTGGCCCCCATTGTGCTCGTTAAAAAGAGTGACACGTGACGCTTCTGCATTGATTACCGCCATTTCTATAGAATCACGAAAAAGTACGTTTACCCTTTGCTCTGCATCTATGGCGCTCTTGAATGTCTTTACTGCGCCCGTTGCTTCTCTTCAATAGATCTACGTTCCGGCTACTGGAAGATCGCTGTCAACGAAAAAGACCAAAAGAAGACTGCGTTTGTAGCTCCAGACGGTCTATATCAGGTCAAGGTTATGCCGTTTGGACTATGCAACGCCCCAGTCACGTTCGAGCGCATGATGGACTTTCTACTACAAGGGTTCAAATGGTCAACATGTCTTTGTTATCGTGACGATGTCATTGTATATTCCCCAACATTTGAGACGAACCTTCAGCGTTTGTCAGCTATTCTCGACTTATTCCGCACTGCAGGCCTTCAATTAGGGTGGTAGGCCACTCAAAAACAAAAATTTCTTCAAGGGCAGGCAGCGTTAAAATAACTTTTTTCTCAAAACCAGCATGTCTTGTTTACCCAGCTATTTACAGTGCAAAATATTGAATATTTATTTATTGGGAGGTAATCTGTGTCGAAAATCACATTCAAATGTGCTAGCCACGCCAGCTGTGGTAAGTGACTAATGGGTACCTTTATTAGGTAAAGCTTAGAAATTTGTGTAACTAATGGCTGGAGCTATGCAGTGAACTAGAATAAATAATATGCAGTGAATATCAAGGAAGTAATGCTAAAAAAACAAAAAAAACGTGGAAAAAGAGCCAATTTAGACTGAACCTGTTGGAGAAATTAGTGGTGAACTGAAAAATATTCGACGAATTTCTTTATTTCTAGTTCACTGCACAGATATATATGTTGCAAATTATTGTGCAAAATTTCAGTTCAAAGTATACGCTGAGAAATGCGTTATGAAAGTTTGTGTCGCAACATACAGAGCAAATTGTTATTTTCAGAAAAACTTAGGCAAACAATTCCGAGCTTGTAAAAAGGGTAACAATCTTCGCATGCAGGCCTAAAATGCACAAGATTCATAGCTGGGCCCTTCTGCGGAAGCATTATTGTCTCTTTTTGTTCGGGTGGTTGCTCGTCTTTTCTTCCTGGCCTATTTTGTCCCATCCGCTGACTTGCGTTTAGCATTCGGCATCCTCTGGTGATCCCTGGCGATGCAAGCTTTCGTCGTGCGGTACCCTGGTTCTATGCCAGCTTGCCTCAGGATATCTAGGGTGCTTACACTGCCATTATTATAGTGTGCCCTAGCATCATGCAAGGCAAACATTACTGCAGGCAAGCTTACGTAGACCTTTTTAAGGGTCCGCTGCCATATTAGACCATTGAAACACTCATTATCATTTTGAGTCTTTCCATGAAGGCACTTCATTAGAAGTTCATCAGAGCACTGATCACTGTAGACAGTTTTTAACTTTGTTGAACACATCATTTGGAAGTCCTCCTTTGTGTACATATTTCCCTTTGCCGAGTGCTTTGACCCTTTGGTATGTGCACGAGCTTTTCGGTTCAAGTGGAGACAGGCCATGTCTCGGCTGCTTGTCGGTAGAGCTGCAATGAAAAAAAACTGGCAAGGGTAGCCTTTTTCATTGCAGAAAGGTTGCCCACAATAGCCCTTATGGCGATGCCATAGTAGTTTTGCAGGCGGTCAATGAGGGCCTCAGTGAGCTTTCCCTTACCACTGAGTCTACGCACTGTCTTCTTCAGTTTTCTGAGGCAGCAGCCAACACGCTCCTGAACATGCCCAATACATTCCACTTTCTGCACACTGTCCTTTCCGTACATGTCTTTGACAGCGGCATAGCTCTTGGGATCACCATCGCCGTAGTAATGCAGGTACTTCAAATCTCTTTTGCCTTTCGACCTTTCAAATATTCGGAGTAATATTCGTTAGCAGTATGGAGACCAATCGTCTTCATACTGCCAGCCCTTCCTTCATGGTTTGCTTGACAGGAAGTGTGGTTTGCCTTCCATTCCTGGTACGAAGCACTATCCTGCCTCAA